CTCTCTCTCTCTCTCTCCCTCTCTCGCGCGCTCTCTCTATATATCTCTCTCTTTCTCTCTCTCTCGCGCGCGCTCTCTCGCACGCGCTCTCTCTCTATCTATCTATCTCTCTCTCTCTCTGCTCTCTGTCTCACTCTTTTTTTTCTTCTCTCTCTATCTATCTATCTCTCTCTCTCTCTGCTCTCTGTCTCACTCTCTTTTTTTCTCTCTCTCTCTAGCTATCTCTCTCTCTCTCTCTCTCTCTTGTGCTCTCTCTTTTTCTGTCCACCCATGACGCAGCATCTCTCTCTATCACTAACTCTCTCTCTGCATCATTACAGCATTGCTAAGATAGAGATCCTCCCCACAACACTTCATCTCTCCACCACTAACTCTCCTTCTATCTCTGCATCATTACAGCATGATAGCGCGAAAGGAAGGGAGACAGAGACACATAGATGAAGCCATCACCGCACACACTCACCCGCGGATGCTGGAGATGTCACTCATGTTGTCGACGCGCGCGAGGTTGGACGTCGACACGGACGTTTCGATCTGACCGTCCACGTCAAACGTCGTCTCGTAGTTCGGCTGACCGTCCGGCCGGTCCGGCGCCCGGATCTGCTGACCCGTAGGATCCGTCATGCTCCTCTTCATGTAGCGCTGAGAGCAGGCGAGAGGTGGTCAGTATCAAGGGGAGTAGTGGTCAGTATCAAGGGGAGTAGTGGTCAGTATCAAGGCGAGAGGTGGTCAGTATCAAGGGGAGTAGTGGTCAGTATCAAGGCGAGAGGTGGTCAGTATCAAGGCGAGAGGTGGTCAGTATCAAGGGGAGTAGTGGTCAGTATTGATGGGGCAGTGAGTAGTGGTCAGTATCGGTGGGGCAGTGGAAGTGGTGTTACATATGATGGGGTAGGGTAGTGGTAGGGTCATCTTAGTGATTGACCAGCACAGAATTCCAGTTCTATCGCTGGCCTATCGGCGGGCACGAGAGAGAGTCAGTATAGGTGGGCAGGGGGTCATCCTAGTGCTTGACCACCACAGAATTCTAGCTCAATAGTTGACCCTCGAGGCTTCTCCCTCCTCCTCTCTTTCTGACCCTCTTCCTCTCATCTTTCTCTGACCCTCCCTCTTAGCTCTCCAGACATTGGGATACAGACACCCTATAGCAGATACTGGATACCTCTTCCCCGTCTTTCTTCCTCATTTCTCTAGACTTGGGATACGGACACACTATAGCAAATACTGCATATCTCTGCCCCGCTCTCTCTCTCTCTCTGTCTCTATCCTCCCCCTCTCCCTCCACCCTCCCACCTTCCCCCCATCACCCTCCCCCTCCTCTCTCCCCTTCTCCCTCACGATCCCTCCCTCCCCCTCTCCCTCCACCCTCCCACCTTCCCCCCATCACCCTCCCCCT